AATTGTAGATAAGAATTTTTGAAATGTATTTAGGGTGGAATACTATGAATAAGTAGATTTTAATGTATGATGTGTAAGAAGAGTACAGTCATAATATGTTGGCATTCTTTTATCACTGTGAAATAAGATGAAATATATATTTGGTCTCTGCCCCTGTTCCTGACACAAAGCTACTAAAACCCTTGTAGTTTGCTGAGTGATGGGGTTGTTAAGAGGCTCTTACACAGAGCTCCTAAGTCCCTTGGAATTTCCTGGATGATAGAAATGTCTTATTTTCTAATGAGGCAACTCTTGGTAGGCTCCTGGATAGCTTCAGGATGGGGGCTAGTCACCAGAAACAACAAGCCATGATTACAGAACCTTGGAACTTTCAGGGGTCCCTGGGTGGCTCAGTCAGTTAAGCGGCAGACTCTTGATTTCCGCTCAGGTCATGATCTCCCAGTTGTGAGATCTTTGGGCTCCACAGGCTCCACCCTCAGCACCCAGCCTGCTTGAGATTCTCCCTTTCCCTCTCCCTCTGCCGCTCCCCTCCCCCTCACATGCACTCCTCTCTCTCTCTCTCAAAAAAAGAAGCAGCTTGGAACTTTCAACCTCACCTCCCATCCTCTGGAGAGGTAAGAGGGGCTGGGAATTGAGTTAATAATTGGTCATGCATGCATGAAGAAACCTCCATAAAAATCTCTAAATTATGGGTCTGAGGAGTTTCTGCATTGGTGAATGCATCCACATGTCGGGAGAGTGGAACACGCCAACTCCACAGGGACAGAAGCTCCTGTGCTTGGGACTCTTCCAGACCTTTTCCTATGCGCATCTTCATCTAGCTGTTTATCTATATACTATATTATATCCTTTATAATAAACCAATAAATGTAAATAAAGAATAGTAAATAAGGAATGTATAAGAAATTATGGAATTAAAACATACATACACACACATACACATATATGTGATTTTAAGGAAGAGGAGTGCTTAATGTCTCTCTCTCTATACACACACATATAGGTATGATTAATGCCTTAATATGTGTATCTAGATAGATAGATGGATATTAAGCACTCATGTTTGTGACATAAAAAAAAGACAGAGGTGGGGCGCCTGGGTGGCTCAGTTGGTTAAGCGACTGCCTTCGGCTCAGGTCATGATCCTGGAGTCTCGGGATCGAGTCCCGCATCGGGCTCCCTGCTCGGCGGGGGGTCTGCTTCCCCCTCTGCCCTCTTCCCGCTTGTGCTCTCTGTCTCTCGTTCTCTCTCAAATAAATAAATAAAATCTTAAAAAAAAAAAAAAGACAGAGGAACATAGTCTCTTCTCATAGCTAGGGTGATCCTTTTAAATGTAAGTCATATTTTATCCTATCTCTGGTCAAAATCGACAATAGCTCTCAATTTTCTGAAGAGTAAAAATCAATGTCCTTACGAATTCCTGTAAGAACCTGTAAGAGCTGTCCTTGAATTAGCTCCTTATCTACTCTCTCTTTCGACTATACTCCTGCTATAGTAATTTCCTTCCTGTTCTTTAACACGTGAAGTGTTCTCCAACTTCAAGGCCTTTACATTGGCTCTATTTTCTGCCTGGAGTGCTCTTTTTCCTTACTGCCACACAGCCAACCCCTTGCCTTTTTTAAATCTTTGCACAAGAGTTATCTCCTCAATGAGGATTATGGATGCATCCCATTAGAAATTACCTCCAACTCTCCTGCTTCTCCTGCCAAATGCACACCCTTCCTGACTCTCCTCTGTATTGTTCTAAGGCTCTTATCATTACTCATATTCGCTACTATATTGTTATGAGTTGAACTGCACCCCCTATCTCCCACAAAAGACATGCTGAAATCCTAATCCCACGACCTCAGAATGTGACCTTATTTGGAAGTAGGGTTGTGTAATTAGTTAAATTAGGATGAGGTCTTACTGGAATGGGGGCAAGGGTGGGGGCTACTCCAACATGACTGGTGTCCTTATAGGAAGAGGGAAATTTGAACATAAAGACACAGGGAGAATGTCATGTGATGATGAAGGCAGAGATTAGTTATGCACCTGCCAAAACCACCAATGATCACTGGCTGACCCTGAGGCTGAGAAGAGGCAAGGAAGGATTCCTCTGTGAGTTTTCACTGGAGCGTTGCCCTGTGGACACATTGATTTAGGATTTTCAGCCTTCAGAACTGTCAGACAATAATTTTCTGTTGTTTTAAGTCACCCAGCTTGTGGCATTTTGTTAAAGCAGCCTTAGGAATTGAATACATCTGTCTGTATACTATGTCATTACTATCTAATTCCCTTTTTATTGCTCTTATTGCTTATTGTTTGTCCACCTCCTGCCACTGACTCTCCTTCTCCCAGAAGGCAAACATAAAATAGCAGGGCTCTTTCTCACTGCTATTCCCAAAGCACCTACAAGAGTTCCTGGCCCACAGCAGGTCCTCAATACTATCTGAATGAAGTAATACTCCTATACATTGCTTCATTATTTAATCATTTTAGTTGCTCTTTGTGCATTTCCCAGTTGTTGTTTTTTTCATTTAGTGTTTTATTACCCACAGTAACGGGCAACATAGCCAGCAGGAATAATTTAAATAAGCACCAAAACTCAATTTAACACCTCTTCTGAAATAAATATTTTAAAATAATTGTTAAAAGTAATGAGGTTGACTGCTTATAATTTCATCTCTATTTATTTCCCCTAGTCATGCTTTGTGAAGATGCTATGGAACAAGTAATCAAGTCAGATACCAGAAGAGAATAGGAGAGTTAAGATAATCAGCTCTTGAGCAATGGAGAGTTGATTGAACATAAAATGTTTCACTTCCTAACCAAGCCTCCATAGAAGAAATGATCATTCATAATAACCTTCCAAAACGATCATCTCCCCTGCTCCCCCCCCATGACTTCTATCCACCAATCTGTTTAGACTTCTCAAATTTCAATTATTAAGAACATTCAGTCACTTCTGGTCAGGGTAGAGAAATTTCTTCCTTTGAGTTCAATAGTTTAAAAGCTCCAAATTAGTTTATCCAGTTTAACTAAACTCATCTCTCAACAAGCATAAAATCTGTGAAGTTTGACAGGTATTCTACATTTATTAATGTAAGTTACTCCACCAGGATAAAATACCTCTCTTTATGTTTATATTTGCACTCATCAGGGAGATCCCCCCATCCCAGCCACTAAAATTAAACCTTGAAATTGACTGCCCCAGTGAAAGTGAAAATACCTATTGCTTTTAAAAATAAGAGGTCATTCTTTGACTTAAACTTCTTTGGTTTTGGTCTAGAGTAAGACAACAGTCTTGAAGCTAAGCACTGTGAGGGGCAAAGGTTTTAAATCACAAAAGCTTTCTCTTCCAAAAGCAAACCTTGACGTTCTGAACAGAGTTTTACTGTAAGCCACAGTGAAGAGAAAAATGAAGATCTAGGGGACATTCTTGGTAGGCAAAAAGAAGTACAGGCCCTTAGAATAAAAAGGAGAGAAAAAGAAAGAGAAAACCAAGAATGGACCAAAGTTCTTTGACTTTTTCTACCTGTCGTCATATAAAAACTTGGAGTGGACAATCATATAGCACCAGACAGATCAGAGAAGCTAAAAGTGGAGGGGACTGTACGCAGTTTCATATTTGAAAATCTAGAAAGAGACTGAAAAGCAGAGTGCTTTTGTAGCAACATAGGGTGAACACAACAGCAGAGAAATGGCAGCTTATAGTGTTTGGGCAGAGAAGACCCAGTACACCCATGTTGCCTGCCTCAGTTCTTAGTGATATATGTGAGAAGAATTTCATAAGCTCCTGCAGAGTTCTTGGTCATGAATTTAAAGTTTCCCAACTATTGGGAAGTTGCCAGACTTGGCAGGTACAAGACCAATAAAGCAGAGAGTCTAGGCTCAGAACAAAATGGAAGGCATGGCTGAGTCTCTGTGCAACCACGCAGTCAATGAATTGTCAGCAGGGGTGAACTGGGGCTGGACTCTCAGGTGCTGACCTTGCTGAGAACAAGCCATACATTATACAGGTGGACATAACATGGAGACCAGGCAAGAGAATTACTCCTCAGCTGGAGTTCAGTGGGAGCCAGCATAGGGCACCATGTGGACCAGTACTATTTTCCGTTCCCTCCGTGTGTAGATAACACCTAGGGAAGGAAGAGGAGGGTGTGTGAAAGAAAGCCCCCATTGAGATTCTGGATTTTCAGTAGATTAGATAACTACCAGAATTACCTATTTGCAAACCTAAAATGTTTCTTGTTTTGTTTTGTTGCTTTTCTTTGTGGACAGAAATCAATACAGGGGAGGGTTAAATCAGTTACAGGAACTGAAGATGGCAATGTTATTTTGCACATATGAGCCGCTTGTGAAAACATTCAGTGATTTTCAGGGACTCGGTTTTTAAAAAAACTGTCTGAAATAAACAAAAAGTTTCAATTGAAAAGTTTAGTAAGATAGCATATGAGACCTCAGTACTGAACTAGCACAAAGTCTATCAATCCTTCTATATCTTGACCAAAAAAATTAACCTTTTGTTCCCCCTGGGGACACTTGAAATATTTTTAAATTAATTAATATTTGGAAATACAGATACCATTTATACTTCGCATTTTAGATTATAAAAGATATATATGAAAACAATCTTTCTTTGATAGTGTTAATGTGGTATAAGACTAGAAAAGATTTAAAATCTACTTTTATTTACTAAATTAATTGTGTGTTACTGGACAGTGGGGCAAATGAACAATCTGACCAATTATCAATAATAGGAAATCAGTGTTTTCCTGCCAAAGCTGTACCCAATGCTTGCAATTATAATCATGACGTGGGCGTACATCTATCATTTGTTACGATTTGCTGAGCATACTAAATGTTTTCTGTATTTTCACAAACTAAATATTAAGAAGCCTGTGAAGTAGAAATGAAGATAAATAGATAATATATATTCCTCATATTTGAAATTAAATGATCCTCAGGAAAAATATTTTTGTTTGTTGTAATTTTGAACAAAAAATACTGAGTTGATTAGATACAACTTTTATTTTAAACAAAAATTACAATTCATTTGTTTACAAGACAAGATGAAATGAAAATTAATGTAACTACTTCTTAAAGTGAAATTATAGATTGCATTTACACTGACTTTATACAACTAAATGAATTCATCATATTATATATAACACATTTAAGTTATCTTCCACATATTATGAACTGACATTCAAATCCAGAACTCTGATACATAAATTAAATTTCATGTTACTAAAATTTGTTTTTGTACATACAGAGTTAAGATGTTTTAGACGATCCCAACATTTGTTCTGTCCTTGGTAAACATTGAGAATTATGACATATGAAGACACTGTATAAGGGAAATTAAATCAGCTTTGATCCCATTATTAAGAAAACCATACAGAATAGGATTAAGGCAACAGGACAGCATGCCTAACAAATGACAAATGCAATACACCAACTTGAAATGCCTGTTTGAAATAAGGTTATCATTAAAATCAGTCACCACATGGAAAAGGTGTAGGGGCATCCAGCTAACGGCAAACACTAATATCAATATGGTCAGTCTATAGAAAACACTTCGGGATCTCTTTTTGATTCTCATGATAGAACGGTTTACTCGCATTTCGTGAACATCTGAGTTTTCTTCAGGTTTCATCTCAAAGCAGGTGGGGACCCTTGGTATGAACTTACTGGATGACGAGAGCTGACTTTTTACGGAACCCAAGTTTTCTGGAAGCATTCTTGAGTGGTTCTCTTGAGGCGATCTTGCTGGAGCAGGTAACACACATGCTGTCTTCTTGCTGTATCTTCTTCTGTGTTTTCTGATGAATGAATAGCCCCACTTATGGCTGCTGGACAGTTTCACCTGAGGCCCACTCTTTTTGAATGGATGAAGAGTTAAGTTGATCATCTCATTTTCTTCTAGTTTGTTTTCTTTGTTGGACAAGCCACAGCTTATACTCCTGCAGACACTGGTATGACTTACAGTGAGACACACCAAGGGCAGAATATACTGAACTAGCAATAAAGAGATAGTAAAAGCAATTCTGTACGAATCAGATGGCCATGACTCAACACATAAATACCTGCTGCTCAGCAATGCTGAGCCAAATGTTTCCTGAAGTTCCACCAGACTGTGAAACACTGGAAGGGGAGAGCAAATCGCAAAGCCTAGTGTCCAGACGGTAGCAATCAGGAAGTAGCCATGGTTTGCTGTTAAATTATTAGATATAGGATGTTTTATCATATGATACCTGACGATGGCAATTGATATCAGAATTAAAGTTGAAACCAGAACGGACACACATTGAAGAAAAGGCATAATATGACACATGACTTTGCCAAACATCCACTGATCCAGCAGGACAGAGGTCAGTGTGAAAGGGGAGCAAAACAGCACAACCAAAATATCAGAGAAGGCCAAATTTCCTATGAGGAAGTTGACCATAGTCTTCTGATTACGTTTTCTCGTGAGAGCCATTAAAATAAGTAGATTGCCCATAAAACCAAGAAGACTTACAAATGTATAAAGTCCAATCAGAAAATACTGCAAGTCATCCACACTGCTCTTATAGTCATCCCAGACCGGGAAATCAGAATTCCGAGTGGCAACAGTATTGTTCTCGGTGGCAAGGGTCTTGTTATAAAACTCCTGGAGTTCTAAATCCATTTTATAGCTCTGCTTGGAATAAAAAGACGTTAGTTACCAACTTTAAAAAAAAATTGCGTGACTTCGATAAATTAATCCACTGAAAGGGAAACTAAATTTTAAAATTTGTTCCCATACCTTATTAATCTCCTAAACAAAGTTTCATGAGGTCTTTAATTGGTCCAAGTGCAGAGCAAATATCAGCCAATAACAAGTACAGTAAGTTTAAGTCTATCATCATTTCTATGGTATGTTAATTTGTGTTAAAATAGCAGACCTTGTTTTTTAGATTTATGTAGATATAATGAAAAGGAAGGAAAAGGCAAATGTATATGAGAACTTCAAGATATCTAATTAAAATAGCTCATTATTATTAATTGTCTAGTCAAGGTGCTTATTCATGATGTGGTCACATAATCTTATCTTAAACAGTCATTCATTTCCAACTTCAAAAAGGTCAAACTTAAAAGTCACCTATCCTGAGGTATTCCTTGGCCTACTCAATTGGATGTGATCTCCTCTTTGGAACTCCCATAATGCTCTGTTTCTAGCTGTCTGATGCTGTATGTCACAATTTGCTTTGCAATGCTATTAAAATACATAGCAGCTTACCTTATCTATTTATAAGCAATGGGAAAGCAGAAAACTGTCCTTTATTCATCGTGGTATCCACCACAATACATGGCCTAGTAACTTCACCATTGTAGGTGCTAAATAAATACTTATGGAAAAATGAAAAATTCAAACAAATGTCTAGTATCCTAAATATTATCTAGTTCATGCGTGTTCAAATGTAAGCTTCTCAAGTGTAGAAACACTATCCCAGGACTTAGGTCTATGTACTAGGCACTTACTGTTTATCAAGCTTACTGTTGACTATGTGTGTACAATACTAGATGGCAAAGTCATTCCATGATCAATTCTTAGTCTTTTGACATGTGCCAGATTATCATGAATTAGGATAGCCACTGACCAGCAGCCTGCTAGTGTTTTTAAAAACAAAATTTACTTGTTTATTTTTTAATTTAAAAATTGAAAGTAACTTTCAGCTTTAAAAAGATTGGATAAATTCATATCGTCTGAGGAAAACTTACATCTTAAATGTAGAAGTAATACTAATATCATACCCCATAATAAGTTTTTTTCCATTTCAAACAAAATTAACAGTGTAATATTATTAATAGCACAATGGTATTTCTTATTTACCGCTACATTTTAGAGATTTGGCAGAATTATAAAAAAAGTAAGCACTATTATTTTTTAACAAGAGTTTCCTATAGAACACTCAGGATAGCAATAGTTAATTAATTCTGATGAATACAGATGTTGTTATAGAGATCCTTATATAATGCAACTTTAAAAAGAATATATACTACATATCAGTTTATGTACATATTTCTAGATCTATAGTTGGATAACTATATTTAAAACTATAAGAATACATACATATCTAATTAATAGTGAATACTATTATCTTTAATTTATAAGGGACTTTTAGGTCCTGATCCAAAATATTTCCAAATAGAAAATCCTATTGTGTACATACATTCATTATCAGTAATTTTAACTCCAGGTTTATATATAGCAGGTTTCAAATAGGATGATACAGGCATCATTGTTCTATGAGAAAATTTGAAAGTTTAAGTTTTTCACAACTTCTACAACTGATTCTATGTTGATTAAATTACTTTCCAGAAGCTGATAACATCCCTTTAAAGATAAATTAATTCAAGAGCTCAGGGTCTTACTCATTCATTCTTAGACACTAGCCAACAATTTACATTGATATTGTCCCAAGTTAAAAGGGGTAACTGGTGCAAAAGTTACTCACATGACCTCCCGAATCATCTTATTCATCATATTACCAGTTAGTTAATGGCCTCCCAGTAACTACTCTGTATAGATCAGTGAGCTTCTAATCAGAGTAGCTTTGACTGGCCTTTCTGCGTAATTTCCTGGGTTCTGATAACTCCCCTGGTTCCATCTACCTTGTTTAAATCCTAACTATATTTATAATGTGTACAGGTTATTTGTTACTGTGATCCTGCTTAGTTATTCTTCTTCTGACTCACTTTCTTGAGACAATCATTTTTTTGCTGTAGGTCAGTGGCTATTGACTACCTTTTCTACGACCAAGGTAAGGAAGGACAAAAGAGAAATTGGGTAGTTGATTCTACAATGGGCTTTGTGTTTTCCTGGGATGTGTAACTAAAAGATGACACTCCTTTAAAGTAAAATATTACTGTCCAAAATTTTTTGAAGGAAGAGGAAATGCAGTACAATTTGTGGTAGTAGAAACAATGTGGTTGAATCTAAAATTCAGACTGACTCCAATGTAGTGGGCGGTCTTCTCAATTAAACACTAATGGACATAAAGGAAAATGTCTTAATTCTTTTCATGATGGAAATGGTGCTTAATAGAGTTATGTTGTACATAGTGGATGCTAAGTAAACACTTGTTACTCATCATTTTAAAAGTTAGTTTAATTTTTCCCACTTTAAAAAAAAAACAGAAATGAATCATCTGGGGAATGTAAGAAAGTGCAGGATAGTGCATGACTACACGAATATATATGTCTGTTTATGTACACATATATATTGGAACCACTGAAATTAGACAGGTTTTCAAATGGCCCTAAAATGTAATGAGGAGATAACATCCATAGACAATGGGGATTGCTTAGCGTTTTAAAATTTTAAATAAGATGCCTTCAGTGATAAAGCAACATGAAACTAAAATAGCAAAAAATATTTACATTTGTTTTTATTTAAATGTAAAAAAAGTACATCAGATTGCAGTGTGTCACTAAAAATTTTCTATGATAATACTTGCACAGAAAATACTGAATTCGTTAAATTATAAAAACCACTGCCTTGTTAGTAAGAAGATGAAGGAAATGCCATCCTGAGTATTCATTGGACACAGGAAAAACTTCTTTCCCTCCATAAAAAACACTACTTATATATAATTTTAAAGGGGGAGGCTTCTTTTATTAATGAATAACTAAGAAAGATTAGTTGGTCCTTCCTTTGCTCATTCAACTAGCATTTATTGAACAATTAATGTGTGAGGTGCATTGCTAGGCTCTGGCATTAAGATAACAAATACAAGATATTATGTGAGTAATATTCTGAGGAGTTAATTCAAAGTTACACAATGAGTAATTACAGACTGCAGTGCCTGAGAGAGAAAAGACCCTAAATGGATGATGAATGAATGAATGGATGAATGAATGACATTTTCCTGACAGCCAGCGATGGATTTTTTTCACAACAGCATGAACACTTACACTGTTGCTGAATATCATGGATGCGTATTTGTACCTATTGATAGATTGATAAATTATCATTTTTTTCTTATGTTTTTTTCCCTCTCCTAACATTCATTCACTCATTTAACATTCATTTATTCCTTTTATTTTGGTCAGACTGTAGTCAACCTCGAGCTGCTCTCTCTCTAGCCCCAGGCCAATCCATCCCATCTACACACAAACATACACCTAACACCTAACTAATATCGTGCTCTGCACTAAATGAGCATTTTGTGAATCTTTGCTCCAGTGACTTCTTACAACTGGAGATATTGCAAATGCGGCCAGGGGGAAGGAAGGGAATGCTAAGCTGTTTCTTTAACGCACCATCTTGTAGTGTGGCGGCCAAAGGCAGAATACCCAAGATGGGCCATGCAATGGCAGGTAGATTATTTTGAACTGAAAATAATCAAGACCCAAAAGACTCAGGTAGAAACTTTGACCTCCCCACCAACTGCCTAAAAAAAATTTAGATAGAGGACCTGTACCAGGAAAAGAGCTATTTATAGAAATTCCTTTTTGCCTAAGAAACTTACCTGCACAACAGGGCAACCTTCATTTTCCAAATATCTCCTCTCACCTTCCTGCTAGTGGCTTTCCTCCCTTACCACTCTCCTTAGCTCAGGATGACATATAAACCTCATTTTGCCTGTCTGTGGAATTTCCATGTCTGTGTAGATTCCCTATAGGTAGGAAATTAATCTGATTTTCTTCTGTTAATCTGTCTTACAGAAATTTAATTCTTAGTCCGACTAGAAGAACTTTGGACAAAGAGAAATTTCTTCCTCTATGACAGTAGCCAGGGGATATTTCAAACAGTAGGAAATGTTTGTCCAATAAGATTTGTCTTTTTTTTTTTAATTGAAAATCAAAGGTAAAGAAACTACTTTAAAATGAAAGAAAAAAAGCACAAAGGATTTCTTTTCTTAAATTTACCCCTTTACTTCTCTGAAAAGCACAATAAGCAAACCTATAATGAAATGTAGATCTGTTTAATAATTATCTGCTTTTCGACAAGTGTTATAATGAATACTGTACAATTTTATGAAACATAAATACTTTATACATAATGAGAGTAATGTAATATGTGTACTTTTCTTCATCTCAGAGAGCCAGAGAAATTGTGAAATATAACCAGAGACGATGTTTTAAAAATGAAATATTATTTTAGGAGAAATTTGATACTGACTGTGTGTAACCTTTGTTGTGTTTACTTAAAACATTTTCCTCTTTTGTATCTAGTTTTAGCTCCCACCATCAGAATTCCCAGGCTGCAACATCAAACTTTAATCCTCAGAGTAAAAAGTGAAAAAAATAAAAGTTCTTTGTCAAACTGTGGTGACTTTTAAAAAGCAATGTCTTTGTAGACTTTCTGTAATTTTCTGATATTGTAATTTTCTTATAAAAATTGATCTACAGCTGACACCAAGACAAATGAAATCTTCCGAATAGACCTTAGGTATGTTAAGTAGATAGTTCTTAAAAAGAATAACAGGAGGAACTTCAGGGAACTCAAAGGATACTAAAAGACAGCTAATATATTTAAATAAGGTTCCTTTGTTAGGATAATTTCCTGTCTTATGAAAATACACATCTTTTCACAGAGGATGCCAATCACACACAAAAGGATAAAATACATGATTTTTTTTTCCCCTCTGGCAATGATAAATATCAAGTATTGCCTATTTTGCTATGATCCTGGAACAATGGCGAGATTCCATGTTCTCAAATATTCCCACGATTTATTTTTAAAGCTAGAATCTGGCAAAATTTGAGTTGGAAAGATAAATACAGCTTTGCTCAGCTGACAAACACGCAGGCACGCGCCACCCTCTCTTAATTCTAACAGCAGAGTTTCTTTTCCCTTGAGAAATCTGAAATGTAAAATCGCATTCCGGCTCAAAATTCTGCTGAGAGCCTCAGGCTCTTCCACGGTCTCTGGCAAAGTCTTTCGACTTTGATCCAACACGATGGTGCAGTGCCTTTAAAAGAGAAACTAAAGCTCTGTGAACTTGGGGATAAAAATTCCTTGTTTCTGGAATTCAAGGTGTATGGCTGTATGGTACTGCTCGCATTTGTCCTATGAGGCCACCTTGCAAACAAGAGCGCCAATGCAGGCGCGCAGCTGCCTCCGGGTCTGCGGCCAGCTGCGGCACCGCGCGCCAGGTGGACTGACCGAGTGGCGCCCGGTGGACCGCGCCCGGGGACCGCGCCCGAGCCCGGCTACGGCTGTGCACTGGCTGAGCACCCCGTGGGCTGCGGTTCCCCCGCCTCGGAGGCCAGCCGGGCTGCACCCGCGGCTCGCCCGCAAGGGGAGCGCTCGGTCCCCGCAGACCCCCCTCCCGCTTGCTGCCGATCCAGCTCCAGTGCGATTCCGGACACTCCTCCTGGATTCGGCCAGCGCCTGCCCCACCCCGGGTGAGTACTTGCCCCGCACGGAAGAATTCCGCTGGGTCCCTTCCCCGCTCTCCCTTCACGCCTGACAATCGCCTGTTCCTCCACCCCAAACCCCCACTTCTCCAGCGGCTCTGCCTTTGGCTTCCCCACTCGCCCTCTCGGGAGCCCCTACTACACCCGGGACCAGGCACAGGGGTGCGGTTACCCGGCCCCGCGCGGACTCTTTGCCCGAGCCAGGAACGGCCTCCGCGCCTCCCTGCTGGCCCACCCCCGCGCGGAAGGGAGCGGCGGGGAGAGGCTGAACCCGGTACCTCGGGGCGCCCGGGCCGGTGCCGGTGCCTCGGCTCCCGGGAACGCGGTCGCTTCTGCGCCCGGGCGGCGGCGACTGCAGGGGGAGGACCTGGAGGTGGCGGTGGGGAAGGGGGGGGGGTAGGGAGGAAGGAGCGGGGAGCAGCGGGGGTTTTAGAGGCGCCTCGGAAACACGTGACTACTCCCGGGACCCCGGAGACCCTGCTCTAGGGCGCCTGCTCCGCGACAGCCTCTCCCCAAGCCCGGGTTCGGGGCATCCCAGCCCCTACCTTGCTGTTTGGGGGCCCAGAGAGAAGCTGCAGGCCCTCGAGATGGCACCCCGTCACTCTGGCTTTTGGTTCCCGGCGGAGGCCAAGTTAACTTGCGGAGCAGGAAGATTTTTGCTGGTTCTGTCCCCAGCCTGGTGTAGTGAACTCGGAGGAGTCTTGAGCTGATGTGGGAGTGAGCGCATGGGGTACCTCTAAGAGCTTAGGCTCCATGAGAAAAAGCTTCAAGGCCCAGGTTTTCTCTTTGTTCGGAAACAAAAACAAAAACAAAAAACCCACCAAAAAACAAAACTGAACGTTGCTCTTTTTGCACCTTTTTGGAATGAGGAAGGGAGAAGTGTAGGCAGGGAGGTTAATCTGAAGGGACGGGGGACACAAAGGGGTCAGAGATTTGATGCACCCCAAAAGAATAGGAAAAAGGATTTATTCCCTTTGCCAAGGAGAAGTAGTTGTGGGCGTGGGCAAGCAGCGTGGAGCTGAGGAGTGAGGTTGAAATGGAATCCACGTTTCCCAGGACTGTTGGGTAACATAAAGGAGACTGGGGGGTAAAAAGAGTTGTCATAGGTTAAAAAAAAAAAAAGACAACAACCAAAAAACACCTCAAAATTTGGCCCTCTGTTTCTCCTCAACGTGATTTCCATCCCCAGTGTTTCCAAATCTGTATTGCAGGTTTGCCTTATTTTTGTTATTCATTAGTTGGCAGGTATCTTAGGCTTCTCTGTGCTCTGTGTGTATCTGTGTATATCTGTGTGTGTGTGTGTAGGAGGCAGGGAGTGGGGAGAGAGAGAGAGAGACAGAGAGACACTGGAGAGATTGGAGAAAGGTCCACATGTTCTTGACCATGGCCTTGCAGGCAAAAGATTGTGTTTGCTGTATATTTCAAAACTGAAAACGATCATGTGACAATTACAGCATGAAGTGTTTGGTGATGAGTGTAATCCAGTGGGACTGGCACTCTAAAATGGAGAGGACTGTATCCCTTGGTAGCAATGCAACTTGTAAATCTAGTTTCAGGGGGCTGCAAACCCTACTGTTACCCCAGAAGTGGACAAAAGTTCTTGTGTCTCTTCTCTGCTGAATTTTAATATCCGATACTCAGGGAATCTGTATAGACTGTCATTGTATCGGCTAGAAAGTCATCCAAGAGTTCTTAAATACCTGAAGTAAATCCAGTTCCTATTTCATTCTTCTCTGTTTATTTCTGGAATACTAGTACATTCTCACCCAAATGCTTGACAGAATAGGCAGTCTGAGCAGGCCCATTGGATCCTGCAGTCGGTGAGCTTAGGGATAGTATGTCAGGAAGGGGTGACCGGTGAGAAAACAAAGTTTGGTTCTTAGACTTTCTTAACATCAACATCGGCATGGTCAATCCTCTACACATATGCCACATAAATTCCTCTTCTTCCATCCCTTGCACATACCTACTTCAAATACGCTTAGTCGTTAAAACAACTTCCAAATGAACCCCACTGTGACTATCTTCTAAATACTAATCTATGCTACAAGCTTTTGTATGTTAAAAATACAAGATGGATTTTATTTCTCTTCCACAAATTTGTTTTTTCTTTTGATGATATCGACCCTTAGCTTTAAGTAACTGTTATTATTAGAGTATTAAAAATAAAAGGTCAACATGTCGTTGAGATGAAGATTTTAATTAACCCATCATTCCCTTCCCACTGCACACACAAACATGCAAGCCTCAAAAAGCCTTCTTTAAATACACATTCAATATACATGGAGTAAACAAATTATTAAAAAAAAAATCCTTCTTTTGAAGATTTGGTCAACTTGAAAATTCCAACAATATGCTACATAAAGAGGAAGATATGAAGATCAGTGTGCTTTTATCTTCAAATTTCCCAGGAGGGATGACTAATCATCATCACTCTTTGGAGAACATAATAAGTAATTTTCCTATTTTATGGAGTAAATTCAAGCAGGTGGAGTACTACCTCTGGGAACACAAATAGTAATGTCCATCTCTGCTCTATGTATTTTTTCCTACTCACTATTTATAAAATGCTCATTTGGGAAATTAAGCTGGATTTTATGTGTGCTACAAAATTAAACTGGCTATTTTCCAGTTCTCATGGTTCTTCAGTTATGAAAGAAAGCATTTCTATAAAGGTGAAAGTTAAAATCACTTGGGACTCCTAAGACAAATTATTGAATAACAAAACACTCTCCAAACAATGCCTGGGGTAACATTTCTCTGAGGAACATGTCTGTTGTTTTTTGTCAAAGTTATTGCTGCATTTTAATAGCAGCTACCATTTGTGAAGGACAGTTACTAAAGTGCATTGACATAATCTGAAATGATACGGGATCTTGAGATATTAGTTATAGGAATAGTGGTGGTAAATAAAGTAGAAAAAACAGTATTATTTTATTTGATGCATTTTTTTTCTGTGAGGATTTTGTTATATTCATTAAGAGTAAACATTTCTTTATCCACTGCTTCTATCATGGTAAATTTAAATCCTTAATTCTTAAAAGACGTGGAAAGGGCCATTTCCACGTATTATCAAAATATTTTTATGATGTGCATTGTTGCATTGATTTCTTTGGAATTGTAATAGTTTGTCATATAATCAATACTTAGGACTTAAAACAAGGAACTAACATAATTGTGAAATACGTGCAGTTTTTTAAGGAACAAAAGCAATTAAGAAAAAAGTTAACCCAAAGTTTTGGGTGCATAGGGCCATTTTCCCAGAGAATTCCATGATAATTTTGAGGTCCTAAGGGGGCAGGATAAACATATAATTGCCTTCTTCTGACAAGCACTTTGCTACTTAAGCAAGATTTTATCTTTCTTTTTGATTGCCTAATGATTAAATCGTTAAATATAAAGCAGCGACTGATTTCCAGACAGAACGTACAGTTCTTTTTTTTAACATAAATTTTCCATGTTAAATATACATACACATGTATGTGTGGTACACATATATATAGTTATACAAGCACATAATCACAAATGTATTTGTATAATGGACACTTGTCAGAACATCTGGATTTCATTCAGGTTTTATTCCAAATTAATGGTGTGGCTTTAGACAAAACACTTGACCTTTGTAGTATTCACTTTCTTTGTAAAATGAAATGTTTTAAGACTAGTAGATATAGAACCCCCTTTAAGCTCTGACTACCTATGACTTTATGCCATTAACAAGCATGCATTATAGATATATGTGTAGAAAGAGAAACTTTTTGGATCTTGAGAAAAATTTGATGGTCATAGAAATTGTTTCTCTCCATATTAGAAAAAAAGAAATACCGTTGATAGCTTTCCATTATTACTGGCACATTCTCTTCCTTGCAACTATATTAACTACATGATGATACTTGTTTCATTCTTTTAAAAAATTGTGGATGTCTTACATATCAACAAATGATTCTTTATCTAATTATATTATTTTAAAAATCTCAGCACAAAATATATAAAAGAAGAGAACATAGATTCCTTTGGAGGCATAATATTTCTATCATGTAAATCCTTATGTAGGGCCATATAATCTTCCCTTTTGTAAATCAAAACAAAAAGTGGTGGTATTGATAGGTATCCCCCCAATATTGCTTTTTAAAAGTAATTTTTCATTTCTTAGCTAAGTTTTCATGGTTAGAATTTTAAATCTACTTATAAGTATAAATATAGCTTTACTATATTTAAGTGGAAATGAAAGAGAATTAGTTTGTTTTTGATATGTTGGTTTGTTTTGAATAGGCTTTAAAAAGAATGTTTAGAGAACTGTTCAAAGCATAAGCCCAGAATAAAAAGTTGATGTGGTTAAATGATACGCTCTTCGAAAAGGTATCTGTTATCATATTCTTACTTTTAGCGTGCTCACAGGTAATTCAGCTTTTAAAAGTATATTACTCAGCAGGTAGAAAAACTTATAAGACATTTTTTTTCCTGGACATAATATGCATTTTTAAAAGCAGTAGGATTCATTTTTCAAGTTTATACTTAAGAGGGAAAGCAGAATTAACACATAAAGAAAATTTAAAAAATAAGAATCATCAAGAGAAGTATATAGTAAGCATATATATGTATAATATATATGTAGAATTTACATATATGTAAAATATATATATACATGTATTATGCGCATGTATAAAAGAGCAGTAATCCACCATAACTAAAATGCCCAAGACAATTTTAAATGTTCCATATGAACAAATGGCCTTGATTTGTGATGTTCATAATTTATGTTATCCTACCTTATTCTTTGTTCTTCAATCCTTCAACAGAACTTTTTTCAATATCTTGTGATATACCAGATAGAATTCTAGGCTGTGAGTTTAAAGAGGTGAAAAAAGTAGTCACTGCCTTCCAGAGATCACAGAGTGGTTCTGTGCAAATAAATAATTAACCACATCCAGTGTACTAAATTCCATGTTGGAAAAAAACTTAGAGTGCTGCAGGAATATGAATAAGGC